GCTCTCTCCAGTCCAGAGGTCGACGCTCTCTCCAGTCCAGAGGTCGACGCTCTCTCCAGTCCAGAGGTCGACGCTCCCTCGGGTCCAGAGGTCGACTCTCCCTCGGGTCCAGAGGTCGACGTCCCCTCCAGTCCAACATCTCCGCCGTCTCCTGTCCAGTGGTCTACGCTGCCTCCAGCCCAGAGGCCGCTGCCGCCGCCTCCAGCCCAGAGGCCGACGACGCTGCCTCCAGTCCAGAAGCCGATGCCTCCGCCTCCAGTCCAGAAGTCAAGGAAGTCTCCTCCGGCGTCTCTGCCTCCGGTCACCGCCAGTCCTGCCCTCATCAGGCGCGGGCCCCCAAGGGTCCATCCTCGTCTCCTCCTCTGTCCCAGAAGCAGGCCTCCTAGAGCTTGCTGTCATCGCCTCCTCTGCCACAGACGCAGGCCCCCAAGAGCCCGTCATCATCGCCTCCTCTGCCACAGACGCAGGCCCCCAAGAGCCCGTTGTCGCCTCCTCTGCCCCAGGCGCAGGCCCCCGGACTCTACTGGTCCCTGCCTCCTCTTCAGAGGGCCCTCGGTCCCTCTCTGCCCTCCCTCTGGGTCCCCCTCCTCCCGCCCTGCTCTGTGTTCCTGTGGGCGTCTGGAATCTGCCCTTTGGGGGGGGGGGGGGGGGGGGTGTACTAACCCTAACCCGCCCCCAGTCAGACCTACAGTCCTGTCTCCGGTCCAATCCGCGCCTCCGTCATCTGCAGGTGGAGGAACCACGCCCACAGCCCAGCTGACAGAGCTCGCGGGTCTCCAGGCGGAGCTTGGCAGGATCCGTCAGCCGTCAGCCTCAAGGACTCCCTCCTGGACACCCTGTCCTCTCCGAATCACCAGGAGAGGGTTTCAGTCCAGCCAGCAGCTCCCTCGCCTCAGAGCCAGAGGAGCAAGCCTGCAGTCCACCCAGCAGAGCTCGCCGGTCTCCGAGCTGAGCTGGCCCGACTCCATCAGAGCCTCAGTCTCCAGGAGCTCATACTGGACACTCTATCCTCCCTCCTCTCCCAGTTTCCAGCACCACCAGTTCAATCGCATCCATTTCCAGCGGTGGTCCCGGAGGTCGCACCGCATCCGGTCCAGCCTGTCCAAGTGGTCCCATCTGCAGCAACTCCTCCTCCACTCCAGAAGCCGACGGTCCAGAAGCCAACTCCCCCGGACCAGAAGTTGACGCCCCCGGACCAGAAGTCGACGGTCCAGAAGCTGACTTCCCCGGACCAGAAGCCGACGCCTCCGGACCATAAGTCGATGGAGGCCGACGCCTCTTTCGGTCCTGTGGTTGATGCCTCTTCCGGTCCTGTGGTCGATGCCTCTTCCGGTCCTGTGGTCGACGCCTCTTCCAGTCCTGTGGTCGACTCCTCTTCCGGTCCTGTGGTCGACGCCTCCTCCGTTCCTGTGGTAGACGCCCCCTCCGGTCCTGTGGTCGAAGCCTCCTCGTGTTCTGAAGTCGACACCTCCTCGTGTTCTGAATTCGACGCCTCCTCGTGTTCTGAAGTCGATGCCTGCTTGTGTTCTGAAGTCAACGCCTCCTCGTGTTCTGAAGTCGACGCCTCCTGTTCTGAAGTCGACGCCTCCTCGTGTTCTGAAGTCGACGCCCCCTTGTATTCTGAAGTCGACGCCTCATCCACTCCAGAGGTCGACGCCTCATCCACTCCAGAGGTCGACGCCTCATCAACTCCAGAGGTTGACGCTCTTTCCAGTCCAGAGGTCGACGCTCTCCCCAGTCCAGAGGTCGACGCTCTCTCCAGCCCAGAGGTTGACGCTCTCTCCAGCCCAGAGGTCGACGCTCACTCCAGCCCAGAGGTCGACGCTCCCTCGGGTCCAGAGGTCGACGTCCCCTCCAGTCCAACATTCCCGCCGTCTCCTGTCCAGTGGTCGACGCCGCCTCCAGCCCAGAGGCCGACGCCGCCGCCTCCAGTCCAGAGTCCGACTCCTCCACCTCCAGTCCAGAAGTCAAGGAAGTCTCCTCCGGCGTCTCTGCCTCCGGTCACCGCCAGTCCTGCCCTCATCAGGCGCGGGCCCCCAAGGGTCCATCCTCGTCTCCTCCTCTGTCCCAGAAGCAGGCCTCCTAGAGCCCGTCGTCGCCGCCTCCTCTGCCCCAGACACAGGCCCCCAAGAGCCTGTCGTCGCCTCCTCTGCCACAGACGCAGGCCCCCAAGAGCCCGTCATCACCGCCTCCTCTGCCACAGATGCAGGCCCCCAAGAGCCCATCGTCGCTTCTGTTGGGTATTTTTATAATTGTACCTTTTTGAGGCCTAAAAGATGCCCATTTTGTGTTATTAACACAAAATGAATCTCTGTTTTTGCCAACTGTTGCTGTTCATGAAAGGTTGAGCAAGGATGTTGATTGTGGGTTTCCAACTGAAAACTGTACCTCTGTAACCTGAGAAGGCCCGCCTTCTCCCCCATCCTTTTGTTGAATAAAGCCCCTGGGAATCTGAGGAGATTTGGGAGTAACGGGGGGAAAAGCCTCGGAGGAGGTTTTTCCCTGCGTTAACTCTCCATTATTTTGGGGACTCAGGGTAAAATGTCTCCCTTATTGTCATGTGTGTTATTTCAGGTTCCAGGTTTATGGAGATTAAATATTACCCCACATGTAATTACTTAACATTTTGGTGAGAGATGCCGGGGATGCAGAGCTGGTGACCTGAAGGCTTTCCCCAGGAACAGAGGGGGGCTGGTTAGCTCCATGGAGGGGTTTCTGCGCCCAGCTCTCGCATGACGATTCAATGACATTACAAATAATCTCTCTCTCTCTGTGTGTGTCGTCCTTTAAGGTAATATGGGATACATCTAAAATTACCTATCAGCCTCCTCTGCCACAGACGCAGGCCCCCAAGAGCCCGTTGTCGCCTCCTCTGCCCCAGGCGCAGGCCCCCGGACTCTACTGGTCCCTGCCTCCTCTTCATTGGGCCCTCGGTCCCTCTCAGCCCTCCCTCCGGGTCCCCCTCCTCCCGCCCTGCTCTTTGTTCCTGTGGGCGTCTGGAATCCGCATTTTGGGGGGGTGGGGTGGTGGTTCTGTCACATCTTGTCCTGTCTCCCCTTTTGGTTTAGTCCTGTGTCTCTGTTAATTGCTCCCACCTGCCTCTCGTTTCCCAATCACCCAAGCTCCCAGCCATCCTATATTTAAACCGCTTCTGTGTTGTGTCTCGTGTTGGATCATTGTTTCTGTGTCAGCGTGTGTTATCATTAAAGCCTTTAACCGTTTCTGTCTGCCTGCCTTCTTCACCCGTGTTTGGATCCTTACCTCCGCCTCGTGCTCCAGCACATCTGACAGAATGATCCAACCCTGCAAAGGATCCAGCGGGGAGATTCTCCCCTGGAAGTGCCTGCTCCAGTTCCTCTCCTCGGACCACCGGCCGGCTTCTCCTCCTCCGGCTTCGCCTCCTCGCCGACGCCGTCACAGACGTTCCTCTCCACCCTCCCGGAGCCAGATGAGAGGTTGGACCGGGAGACGCTTCTGGATCGCTCCAGCTTCATGGTTACCAGACTGGCTGTGTGCTCCCCCGGAGCTGGCCCACGGCATGGGGAAGGATGCTGAGCTCCACCGCAATCCTGTGTCCCAGGACGGAGCCGCGAGCTAGCCGGTTTCCCGGCTCGGCGCACCTGCTTGGACCCGCCCCCAGTCAGACCCACAGTCTCAAGGAGTCCCACCTGGACACCCTGTCCTCTCCGAATCTTCAGGAGAGGGTTTCAGTCCAGCCAGCAGCTCCCTCGTCTCAGAGCCAGAGGAGCAAGCCTGCAGTCCACCCAGCAGAGCTCGCCGGTCTCCGAGCTGAGCTGGCCCGACACCATCAGAGCCTCAGTCTCCAGGAGCTCCAACTGGACACTCTATCCTCCCTCCTCTCCCAGTTTCCAGCACCACCAGTTCAATCGCATCCAGTTCCAGCGGTGGTCCCGGAGGTCGCACCGCATCCGGTCCAGCCTGTCCAAGCGGTCCCATCTGCAGCAACTCCTCCTCCACTCCAGAAGCCGATGGTCCAGAAGCCGACGCCCCCGGACCAGAAGCCGACGCCCTCGGACCAGAAGTCGACGCCCCCAGGCCAGAAGTCGACGGTCCAGAAGCCAACGCCCCCGGACCAGAAGTCGACGCCTCCGGACCATAAGCCGATGCCCCAGACGCAGGCCCCTAAGAGCACGTCGTCGCCTCCTCTGCCACAGACGCAGGCCCCCAAGAGCCCGTCATCACCGCCTCCTCTGCCATAGATGCAGGCCCCCAAGAGCCCATCATCATCGCCTCCTCTGCCACAGATGCAGGCCCCCAAGAGCCCGTCATCATCGCCTCCTCTGCCACAGACGCAGGCCCCCAAGAGCCCGTTGTCGCCTCCTCTGCCCCAGGCGCAGCCCCCCGGACTCTACTGGTCCCTGCCTCCTCTTCATCGGGCCCTCGGTCCCTCTCGGCCCTCCCTCCGGGTCCCCCTCCACCCGCCCTGCTCTGTGTTCCTGTGGGCGTCTGGAATCCGCCCTTTGGTGTGTGTGTGTGTGTGTGTGGGGGGGGGGGGGGGGGGGGGGTACTGTCACACCTTGTCCTGTCTCCCCTTTTAGTTTAGTCCTGTGTCTCTGTTAATTGCTCCCACCTGCCTCTAGTTTCCCAATCACCCAAGCTCCCAGCCCTCCTGTATTTAAACCCCTTCTGTGTTGTGTCTCGTGTTGGATCATTGTTTCTGTGTCAGCGTGTGTTATCATTAAAGCCTTTAACCGTTCCTGTCTGCCTGCCTTCTTCACCCGTGTTTGGATCCTTACCTCCGCCTCGCGCTCCAGCACATCTGACACCCTGAGTCTCCTCTCAACAAAAAGTAATTTGTAACTAAAACTAATTGTAAGATGCCCAACACTGGTGGGCAGGTTTTCTTCAACTCATCAATGACTAAATGCTCCTACTGTTTTGTAAACCGTGAAACAAATCCAAAGTTACTTCATAAGCACACATTACTGCAACATTGACATTTCCGGTCTGGACTAAGTGAGGCACAAGCTTTGGTACTTTTAAACAAATACAACTTTATTAAAGTTTAAATAGCAAAAGGATCTCTAATATTACAATAAAACATTTAAACACGGTCATCCATTCTTTCAGGGTAAAGAGGTGCATCATCTGCATAAAGTTCCATCATTTCTTACATCCTGTGCTTGCAGCAGCACGCAGTCCGTCGGGTTTCCAGTGCCAGACCTTCATCCCAAATAACATTTAGATTTACCATAAATAATTTAGTGTATTGAAATATCTTCATGCAAGTGAACAAAAAGCACAGGGGCAGTACAGAGACCAATCTATGAAAATATATTCAACACTTTCAGACAAAAATATAGAAATACATTTACACAGATTTATATACATGTGTCATCAATGTGAACGTCACAAACGATTTAAAAATCTCTACAATGTGCCTGGTTGAATGATGGGCGTGTCTCTGACATTTTGTCAACGCAGTACGCTGTGGGTTAGAGCGACGGCTAGCAGCACACCACATGGACCCAATGGACCTGTCATAGGTAGTTCTGATTATAAAGTGCAATTTTATTTGATCTGATCAGCAAAATAACTGCGAATATGGTGATTATTTATGACCAAGTCTGCAGCTGTAAGAGTTCTGTAGATGGTGACGAACCCGAGCCCTGTTGTTCGTTGTTTAGAGGATTGATGGTTTTAGGAAAGCTAACTGTCAAACATAAACAACCCCTAGTCTTGCTAAATAAATATTTACAGTGCATGAAGTAAGAATGACATCTTGTGGTCAGATATGGGTACTGCAGTCAATTTATCAAAACAAAAGAGTCTGACCTCAGCCACAACCCCTCCCTGGTTGCCGGTTAACAGTTACGACTTAGCACCAGAAGATTCTAGATGGCGAGTAAGGACAAGTCATACACAGTAAGTTGATAAGCAGATAACTTCATTTCATTGTAATATTGGGTTGTTGATAACTGAAAAGAGTAGCTTAAGATATTTTTAGAGGTGACTACTTTTCTAATTTACCGTTAGCATTGTTAGCTCAACATTAGCCTCGAACCTTCTTTATTTTAGAGTAAAAAAGGAAGTAAAAAAGACGCTGTGGCTTCTTGAGCTTGGTAGACATAACTTCTGGGCCGCTCCTTTTCCTGACTTCCATTCTGTTCACCACGCTGGTGCTTTTAGCAGCTCAAGTTACAAACGCTGGAGCTGCTGTTTTTATGTTGAAGACGAGACAACGTTGCTGGCTCACATATGATTTGGTCTGGAACCAGGAAGTATGGAGGCAGGACAGATTGTAAACAATGGCTATGCCCCTCTTCTGCCACTTTCACAGAAAAACTGAGAACCCCCCAGCCGGCTGAGAAGGAAATCTGTTTCAATGGGACTTTCCCTCCACCATGATAGAGACAGTAGACTGTTTTATGACTATTTCACCATAAAATTATTACTTATTGCACCTTTAAAGTTGCTTGTTATTAATGGGAAAATGACAAAATTCAGAACATTTCCAGATGGCTGAAGTATTTTAGGTTTCTATGTGTTTCAGTCATTTTTAAATCAGCTCATTCTTAAATGGGCTGTAAGGAATCACAGTTTTTTTTAAATACATGTGATCAGAAACATGTTTTTAAAGCTCCACACACTCGAGCTGGTTCAGTTATTGCATCATTCAGACCCTGTTTGCGGCTCCGCTCTGAGTTCTTGGCCTTTTTAAAACATTCAAACAGTTTGTTGGTTCGATCTCAAACGCCTTGGATCCTTTGTTTTAGTTCTTATATCAGTGACACAAAAGCTGCAGGATCACAGGCGGCAGGCCCGGATCGACCAGAACCGGCTGAGCTAGAATCCTTACGGGACTAAAGTCTCTTGGAGGATTAGATGAACCACATTTTACATGCTCTAAAAATTAAGAGGAACATTTACGCACCACTGTACAACTGTTTGGACAAATATGGACATCAGGTATAAAATACAAAGAACTTTCAGATAAAAATGACGTGAAACTCTGGACTCAGAGGGTGAAAGTTCCCGGGATGTGTCCTCTGAACTCATCCATCCACCTCAGCAATGTGCCGTCTGCTGGGCAGACCAACAAAGACAAGGAGAAACTGCTTCATTTCACAAGGATGCTCTCCTCATAATCAGCATCCGTCTCATCAGTGCAAGGAGGCCTTTGGTGCTCAGAGCATCGAACTTGTGCTTGTTTTGTGCTTCTGTCGTCGGTACGTTGTTGTGACCTCGAGAGGACAAGTGTGTGTCTGGCATCAACAAACTCTAAATATGACATCTGGGATGTTTAAATGAGGTGAAGTGGTAATGCCCTGTTTCTCTAGATGTAGACGAGGAAGACTCACTCTCGGTACGTATCTAAATACTCACAGTGGGAAAGAAAAGACTTTTGGCTGATTAAAAACGTGCTCATCTGCAGAAAACCCACTCACCTATAACAAAGTGCTGAGCTAACCCCACCCCACCCCCGTCATTGCTTCATCATTATTACTGTCATGGAGAACAACTCTGACGTCCCTGTCAGGAAATGTAGCAGCTACACAGGACTTTCAAAATAAAAGCTTTTCATATGAGTTTATTTAATGTGGGGGTGTTCTGTCCCATCTTTGTTACCATAAAGAGTCTAACTCCCTCATCTGACTTCCTGTGTGTGTGTGTGTGTGCGTGCGTGCGTGTGTGTATGTGTCAGTCTCCCCGGCAGGTCGGCAGGTTGACAAAGGTGAAGATGTTGTATTCAATGAGACAAGAGAAACACAGGAAGATGGAGTAGAGGAGGAGACACACGAGACCCAGACGTCTGTCCAGTGTCCACTTGTTCAGGTGGACTCCCAGAACCTGGACCCGTGGGAAGCAGAGACCAGCTCATGAGGACAAATCCAGATGGCCCAAATCAGAGGAGCCAGAATCAGGAAAGGTACTCACTGTCAGAAACACGGAGGCCAGAAGGAGACCCACGGAGAAGATGAGACCTTTGCTGTTCAGTTTGATCTGTAGAGAAGGTGAGAGACAGGAAACAGATGTTGGACAGAAAGAAGACAAAAGACAGTCAGGAGACCTCAGGAGATCCTCTATAGAAGCAGGACTTTAGTGGGTCTGTAGCTCCGGAGCATACAGGTGTGTGCTAACACCAGAGAGACATCAGTAACAACTGGAGAGAAGCACCTGTTCCTGCCCATTAATCTGGGAGGGGTCAAAGGTCATTTCCAATCAGTTCATTCTACAGAGGTAATGTTTATTCACAAAAAAGACTCGTCAGCAGCTTCACCGGTTGTTTTGTTTCCAGAGTGGGGACCTTAAAGAGCAAGTCAACCCCTACCAGAGTCTAACTCCACTCCCACTTCATGTTTGAAAAATGCAAAAAATACTGTTACCTGGCAGACCGAGAAGGCGGAGCTGCTAACAAGTACACACACACACAGGCTCACGACAGCATTGTGACATCATAATGTACCAGTTTACATCATAGCATACCTCTTAGCCAATAGCGGTGGCAGATTTAAATTAAAATACAGTGCAGAGTTTTTACCTGACGACGGCACAACACTGCCAGTTCTAGGCAGAATATTTAAATTTTAACTAAGATGCACTGAAGTGCCAAATTATTCACTACATGTGTCTGCAGCACGATTAGACACTCGTTTATTTAGTTTATCAGCAAAAAAAAGTTTATTTGGGGGTGACTTGCTTTTTAAGGAAGACCCGGGACACACTGAAACGCCTCGAGGTTCCCCCGGAGGAGCTGGCCCAAGTGGCTGGAGGGGGGCCTGCTCAGGCTGCTGACCTGGCGACCCCACCCCAGATAAGTGGAAGATAAATGATAAATGACCCACACTTGTGTAGTGCCTTTAAGAGTCAGAGGACTCCAAAGCGCTTTACACTCCAATGTAAGTGGATGAATCCATCCATTCACACACTGGGGGTGATGAGCCACAGCTGCTCTGGGGCGCGCTGACAGAGGCGAGGCTGCCGGGCACAGGCACCCCCGGTCCCTCTGACCAGCAGGTGAGGTGGGTTAAGTGTCTTGCCCAAGGACACAACAGCAGCCGTCTCTGAACCTGCCACGGTAAAAGACAGATCTATCTGGCCCTGGGCTTCCTGTCTCTCCCACCAGGTAGCAATTAAAGGTGCTTACATCAGAGCCATAGTTGATAGCCAGGGTCTTCAGAGCCCAGGGGAGGCCGAGGCCCACCAGGATGTCAAATACATTGCTGCCGATAGAGTTGGACACCGCCATGTCTCCCATTCCTGACCACAGAGAGAGATTTAGATGAAACTCTAATGAGATGGAAGAGAAAATGCTGACGGTTCAGAGAGACAGCAGCAGAGGAAGAGACATGCAAGAGGGACGGGGGTGTTCTGCTCCGACTACTAAAGATTCACACGTCGTCTGACCTCTGGTTGCAGATTTGACAAATAAACCGCTGAGATACTTTCTCACAGATTCATGATTTCAGACATTTTCTGTTTTATATTTGTAAATTCATGCCTTTAATCACAAGACTTTGACTTAGTTTGTTGAACTTTGATGCTTTATGATCTTCCTGGATAAAAGAAGGTCCAAGTTCATCAAATGATCAAACATCAAACAACATCTAGAGAACATTCAAGGACTAGTTGGGGAACATTTAGGGAACATTCCTAAACTCTGACCCCTGTCTGTGTGTTCTGCATGCTAAAACCACAAGTTGGCAAACTGATGGCAGAGAAAAACATTTCCAGCCCATAAATCTTAATCTGAGGGACTGAAAGAACGTGTGTGTGCTCTGGTTCTGTGTGCTTGATGACCTTGCCGGGCTACTATGAGGCTGGCCATGCAGTCAGGAACGCTGGTACCAGCTGCCAGGAATGTGATGCCCATGATGACATCAGGAATGCCGAGTGTGAAGCCGATCACTGTAACCTGAAATACACACACACACACACACACACACACACACACACACACACACACACACACACACACACACACACATGATGGCATCCTGATTCTGAGACTAACATCTGAAATTCCGTATTTCCTGACCAGAGACTCAGGAGGTGCAGCAACATCAGCGGCATCAACAAATACAATAAATGACAGCCTCCAGGTCTCGTTTAAATCAGAAAGTTTGCGTAGAAAGCGGCGTCTGCACATTTCAAACCCTGGTTTGTGCCAACACATTCTCATGCCTGAAGCGGCTAAGACTGACGATGGGTGACCAAGCGTTTGCTTCCGATGCGCCGGGGCTCCCGAAGCATCGGGAGGCGACGCGATGTGCCAGAGCGTCGCTTTCCGACGCCCGCTGTGAAATGGAGATTTCACAGAATTGTGACCTTTACCCTCTTGCTATTTAACCTTCCCCTCACCCCCATCCTAACCTTAATTGTCTTGAGCATACAAAACTTTGTTTCTAGTTGTGTCGTCCGTCTCAAACGCGATTAACGGGAAGTTTAGAACGAGAAACTGGGTTAAGATTAGGATGGGGGTCAGGGGAAGGTTAGAGGTTAAATGTTGGTGAAATGTGAGTTTTCCCGCAGGCTTCGCGACGCTCCGGCACCGCACGGCGCCCTCATCGTCAGTTTTAGCCGCTTCGGGTGTGAGGATGTGTTGTTTGTGCAGAAACACCACACAGCTGGTTAAGGGGGCTCAACAGTGCTTTGAGGTTTGGTATGCTGACCAAGTCCTCCAGAACTTTCTACAGCTGTGCTGTTGAGAGCATCCTGACCAGCTGCATCAGCTTGTGGTTCAGCGGCACCACTGCCATGGTTAGAAGGTCACCAGGTCTCCACTTCCATTTCTGCAGAGGAGTTCCAAGAACCTGCACTCTCAAATACCAAAACAGCGATTTCTGGTTGACTCACCATCCAGACCATGATGTAGGAGAAGGATGCGATCCAGAGGGTGGAGGAAATGAAGGAGAGCATGAAACAGTTCTCCCAGCGAGGTTTGGAGCAGTTGGGAATGGTGAAGTACAGCAGGAGGCAGAGAGGCCAAGCAAGCAGCCACTTCAGTTTGTTCACCACACCGGCTGCAGATACATAGGCCAAAGGTCAAAGGTCAACATGTGGACAGCAGACTGCGACTGTCAGTGGCCAAAAAATAAGAATCAACACGTAGGTGGGACGAGAATGTGCTGGAACACTTAGGTTTGTGCAAAATGACTTCATTTGGTCTTTAAACTGACGCAGATTTAAACAAACTGAAATAAATGATTCCTCATGATTTACAAGCTCACCTGCCCGTAAGAACCATGGACAGTAGCGGCTGGCCAGTAGAGGGCGATAGGGCGCCGCCCTCCCAGTTTCCCCAGTGTTTTTAATTTTTATTTAAAAAAATAAATAAATAAAATTAACAATAATCACATATTCTAAGTTAATTGTGTGTTTTGTAACAAAAATAAATCATATATATATATTTCTATATTGGTCTCTGCCGGTCTCTGCCGAACGGTGGAGGCTGTGGGCTGTGTTTCAATCGCCCAAACGGGACGAGACCAGTCGTCCAATTGCTGACAAGAAAATCAAAGGGTAGGAATGGGAATGTATCCAATCAGCGTCGACGTTGTTTCAGAAGCATGATGGGCGATAGAGCTACCGCCAAAGGCTTTCGTTAGTGCTCGGTAGAACTCGGAGATTCTCGACTCCAGCACGTTTTTGGTCGTGACTCGTGACGGTCGTGACGCAGACGTAATAGACATGGACGCCAGTGCGCCTACAACCAGCAGCAGCATGGATACCGGATCTCAGCAGCCACTGAATTCAGTTCGGTCTCTTCTCCAGTATCCGTTCGAGAGGAGAACTATGGTGGAAAAACTTAATGTCAAAGAGCTTGGACCAGATCAGCCCGACGTAAAGATAAGCCAGCAGGAGGAGGAGAGAGGTAAACTGTACACACGAGGCTTCTGGGAAGGCTTGGCTAGCTGGATGCAATCACGCTAATGCGTTATTTTGCTTTCCAAACGACTGTGACAGATGAGGCATGGATTGAGTCAGGAGTTACGGACAAGAAACATTTTTCTGAGAAGGTGAAGAAACACGAGTTATCCCGGGCGCACATGGACAACACGGTGAAGCTAGCTATGCTAGGCAGAGCTAACATTGCCATGCAGCTAGAGACAAGGGACGCAGGCTTGCAGTGAATAAACACAATGAAGAAGTGGATCAGAACCGGCACATTTTGTCCAAGAGAGAGATGTCAACACAGTGTATGAGCACAAGGATGACCTCCTCAGATGTTTCCAGATGATCAAGAGACTCGGATGACTTTGATCCAATCACCGAGAGAGAGGCAGGAGGCTTTGTGAGAATGCTGGAGGAAGAAGATTTCAGCTTTCTGCTGGCATTGTGTCACAAGATCATGCCACATGTGGACATGCTGTTCAACCAGCTGCAGAAGAGGAACACTGACTCTGTCTCCATCACAGGGGTCATCCAGAGCTTCACCAACAGTATGCAAAAGATCAGGTACATACTTGTTTATTTAATATTATTGTGATGAAATTCTCCAGTATGTTAGTTTCACAAACAGTAATGTGGATGTGGACCATTTATGGTCATGTTATTTTATGTGCAATTTAATGCAGGTTTTTTCAACCTTGGTCCACAAGGCAGCGTGCCAATAGTCAGACACACCTGGATTAATCCCTTTGTCCAATGATGTAAGACAGGAAATAAAAGAGCTTAAATTAATGTGCTTAATTCAGGAAATAGTGAAGTTGTGCACAAAGCTCAGAAAGCACAAGTTTGTTAAAAAAAATAGCACAGCCCCACCAAAAATATTTTTCACCAGCCGCCACTGACCATGGAAACACTTTGTCTTTGTCAGTGTGTGTGTTTGTGTGTGTGTGTGTGTGTGTGTGTAACAGCACTCAGGATGACAACCATCCTTCTTACTCTAAACAACCTGGTTCCTACCTTTTAATATCTTTGGGACGTTCTTGCTGTGTTTGACTTCTAATTCCATTTTTGGTTCTCTTTACCTTGCTGACAGTTTTGTTTGCAGCTGCAAACTTCCTCAGAGCTGACGCTGATGGTGACAAGGAAAATCCGCTTCATTTCACAAGGATGCTCTCCTCATAATCAGCGTCAGTCTCATCAGTGCTACCTCGTTTATCCGCGGGCAGCAGAGGACGCTGTCGCCCTCTGCTGCCCGCTCTCCCCCTCCCCCACACTAGAAAGGAGTGCGAGAGAGAAACAAGTCGAAGACACACAAGAGCAGCAAAACAAGAAGCAGAAAGTACAATAAAGAAGTCAGCCGTAACAGATCAGTGCACAAGAGAAAACCATGTAATGGACTGGGACAACACAAGGATCATAAACACCGAACAACGGAAATACAAAAGATGGATAAAAGAAGCTATCGAGATAAGGAGACGTGGATGTGGGACCATGAAAAGGGACAATGGGGTCTACACGTTGGATCGTGCATGGGACTGCATCATCGGAGAGGGGAGAGCGGGCAGCAGAGGGCGACAACGTCCTCTGCTGCCCGCGGATAAACGGAGAAGGAAGTGACGCCACCATCAGCGTCAGCTCTGAGGAAGTCTGCAGCCGCGAATGAAACTGTCAGCAGCAAGTTAAAGAGGAACCTACCTTTTAATGTTTGGCGGTAGGTTTTGTTAACTTTTCCGGTTCTATCTAGTTCTGTTTACCAAAACACATCGACTCTTCTTTACATCCTAATTTATTTCATCTATACACATTTAAACATATGCTGGGACGTTTTAGCCAAGCTGAAATTCAGGAGATTCTGAATGCACCTGGGCACTGGAAGGGTACGAAGGGTCCTTCTCCATCCTCCTCTTCTTCATCATTCTCGTTGTTTTCGTTGTCCTCGTACTCGGTCTCGTTGCCTGGCTCTCGATCATCGTTGCAGATGCTGATGCGCCTCTCAGTAGCTGACAGTCCATTTTCCACGCCCCAGTTGTTGCCTCCCTTTACGGGAATGTCAGACTCACCATTGATCAGAGTCCTGCTGCTGATCAGACGTTGTCTCTGTAGACCAGATGGAGGACAGTGGTGGAGACATGAAAATGTCCCCCATCCGCAAAACTCAAGAAAGCATGCTATGATCCAAACTCAGTGGAAATGGATCACAGCCGTATGGTCTCTTGTGTTTCAGCATGCTCACCTCAGTGATGAGCATCCGGGACGCCATGGTGAGCCGCGTCCGGGGAGAGAAGTGACTGGTGATCATGATCCTCATCCCGGCCTCAGAGAAGGTCAGCTGGTGCGGGTACACCGACAGCAGCTCGTCCACCATGAGGACCGACTGCTTCCTGTGGTGGTTGGCTGTTACACACACACACACACACACACACACACACACACACACACACACACACACACACACACACACACACACACACACACACACACACACACACACACACACACACACACACACACACAGGAAGGAGAAATCAGGCCAAATGAGAAGCCAAGTCTAGTTTTTGGAGGCTAAAGGAACATGTGAGTGGGGTCAAAGGTTACCCTTCTTCAGTAGCACAGCCGTAGCATCGCAGCCATCATCCAGGTCGGTGGTGGAAGAGGCTCCATTCTTCAAACTGGAGTTCTTCTTCTGTTGCTCCAGAAAACGAACGATGTAACAGTTCAGTCTAGAACAAAAAAAAAAAAACAAAAAAAAAACAACAGAACATCTGAAATTGTGGCAGATTTTTATTTTCTCTTGAGTCAAATGAGTTTCAGCAGCGTTGGACTCGTACGAAAGTCATCGGTTTTTTTTCTTCTCCTGGCACTCACAGAGCACAGTGGCTTCTGCTTTGCTCCCTTATCTTTTTTCCCAAGGCTCTTTTTGTCCTGTCTGCCTACAGAGCACTTCTCTGCATTTCCTCTGGAAATCACTATTTTTCAGAAATGGATTTAATTAATTGGTCATTCAACGCGATTGATAAGATTTTTTTCTACGATGAGAACGGAGGAGGGGGCTCCGACTTGCCCTCACGGGACACACGCAGCGGGATATATGCTCGATGCCTGGAAGGTGTGGAAGGTCATCTGTCTCTCTCAGCTGTCCATTGAGGACGTTGAAGATGTGTGGATATTTGGCCTGATGATCACAGGATTTATTCTGATTGGAGTGGGAGGATATCTGGTTTTCCAAAAAATTGGGATGACGGGAGCGATTGGAGGGCGACCCGCACCCATGGACGGCACCGTCCGGGCGGAGACCTCACAGACTGGGACGTTACTCGAGGTGAATCGTAAGCTGGACAATGTCTTAGCTGCGTTACCGGTGTTAGTGCGCAAAATGGATGTCATCTCAGAGAGGGTCACCGGACGGTGTGGAGATGTTTAATAACCCAAATTGGCTTCACTGAAGGACTGGAATGACCAGTTACAGACTGAAGGCAGAGGGAAAATTATCTCTGCCTGACCCAAACACAGTCTTGTTATCCTTATCTGACGCCATGCAGCCTTGAAGCTGCAAATAATCATCCCCCACGAAGGAAGGAATGCAGACAGATGCTGTGGATCCCGTCCACACAGTGACCTTTTAATAGTCTAGATTAGTGTAATGTTCCTGTTAGTAGTTCCTCCTGTTAAGTGCTTATTTATTTAAATTATGCAGGTTTATAAAAAACATTTGAACTTACATTTTATTATGTTCCAGTCATTAGTCATTTATATTTCACTATTGCAGTCATTTATAGTAAATTAAGTAAGTTCAATTAACCCATTTTTCTTGCATTCTTTAATGAAAAAAGTAACTAAGTAGTTATTTTTCTTGGTAATTAGTTACTTTTATAATCTCATAACTCAGTTAGTAACTGAGTTACTTTTGTGACAAAGTAATTAGTAACTATAACTAATTACTTTTTAAAAGTAATGTTCCCAACACTGTAGAAGAGTTAAAAGCTGAGGAGAAATAACGTGTTTTCAGACGAGTTTGAAAGCGGTGACTGAAGGCGCTTGCCTAACCTGGAGGGACAGAGAGTTCCAGAGTTTTGGCGCACACATGGAGAAGGCCCTTTCACTGCGGGTTAGGAGCAGTGAGGAGGAGCTGATCTGCAGACCTGAGGGCACAAGGAGAGTGGCAGCGATGGAGCAACAAACTTCCATATGAGGGGGCTTGATCATTTAAAAACTTGAAAGTTAAAAGCAGACTTTTTAAATTAATCCTAAATTGAACAGGCAACCAGTGAAGAGATTAGAGACTTGATGTGGTGTCTTCTATTAGCTTCGATCAGGAACCAGCTGAAGTCTGGAAAGATCTGCTTTGCTAATGCCATAAACGCAGGAGCTGGCGTAACATCGACATCCATGGAGTAGTCAAACCGAGATGTAGGGTAAACGTGGATCACGGATTCCAGGAGATGGCTACTCAGAATAGGCTTTAACTACGTTATTAACCTGAGCGTCCATTTTTAAGGCCGTGTCCATTTGCACTCCCAGGTTGGAAACAGTTGGAGAGAGTGGAGGTCAGGTGGTGGAGCCACTCTAACATCATCAGGACTGAAAATAATAACCTCAGTTTTAGCGTTGTTTTCAGCCAGCCACTCTCTGATGTTACAAAGACAATCGAGCAGAGGTTTAGAGGGGTCAGTGAGCTTGAGAGAAACGTAGATTTGGCAATCGTCCACATGTAAGTGATTCTAAACTGCATGCTGTCTAAAAGTGACTCCTAAGGGCAGAATGTAGGAGGAGAACAGTAAACATCCAAGAATGGATCCTTGAGGGACCCCTCAGGGAAGGGAGACCGACTGGGATGAATAGTCTTCCAGCATGACAAGGAGCAGAGGAGCAATCCCAGGAACAACGGGAACCAGGCACCTTCTTACAGGGACAGACGTGGTCCAGTAATGCCGCTTGACATCCACCAGGCAAGACTGGGACTCGACCAGCCGGCCTTCTTGTTTTTCACGCCCAAATACGAGGAGGGCGAGGTAAGCAACACAGGCAGGCTGGTGCTCCAGTTAGATGTACGCGGGTCGAATGAGTATGTCCCAGAGTAAACTGTGATAAGTCCATAGTTGATAGATTTGAAGAAGAGTGAGGTGATCATATGTCGACAGTGAGTTTGAGTCGACGATCAAACAAATCTAAATTATAAACAAAAACATTGTCAGAAGTTCTGTTTTTCCCCAATGTCAGAGACTGTCGGTCTCTGATTGGCTAGGGGGGTGGAGTCACTGCTTGCTCCAGAGCTTGCTGCCATCTTTGTGTTTCTGTGTGACATACACATCACCTCGCGCTGTTTAAAGATCGCCTTGTGTAATTTTTGTGTCGGGTAGAGATCCCCAGTGCCACGGGTGTCTGCATAGACCCGGTAGGCCCAAACATATAGTGAGTCTAACCCTAACTCAACAGAAGTGAGTTTTCTCCCCAGGGTGGTCGAGATCAGCCTAAAAGTCAGGAGGAGGAGCTCAGACATCTGGTAGGGATGCTGCTCCTCCACACACACAGGAGCTAGCTGAGGTTGTTTGAACGTCTGGTCAGGATACCTTCTGCATGACTCCCAGGGGAGGTGTTTCAGATATGTTCTGCCAGCAGGAGGGCTGACCCGCTGGGACACACTGGAGGTGATATAAGTCTTGGGTGTAAGACTAGTGGAGGATATGGAGAGGGCAAATCTCTCTGCTGGTGCTGCTTCCCCCGACACCTGGGTCCGGATAGGCGAAGGAAAACAGCCGGATGAAGTTCCAGCTGCTGATCATCAAGAGATGTTTACAAGACTTTTCCAGTCCCATCAGGATCAGTGGTTTTCTGCCTAAAACAAAGATGAAGTCCATCCTGACTAGACGTGACCTGCACACAGTGATCCATGCATTTGTGATCTCTCGCTTGGATTATGCAAAATCCCTTTTTATGGATCCACATCTTCCTCGGTTGCGCGCCTACAGCTGGTGCAGAATGCGGCGGCCCGCCTTTTCATGGACACCAGAAGGAGGGAGCACATTACTCTTGTTCTTACTCCTGTTCTGGCCCAGCTGCACTGGCTCCTGGTGTGCTACCGTGTCCAGTTTAAAATTGTACTTCTTGTTTTTAAGTCACTCGGTCTTTATGCGCCTCTCTACTTGACTCAGCTGGTTCAGCCTTACGCACCTGGTCGAATTCTTCGAGCAGCAGACCACCGCCTGTTACAGATCCCAAGCATTCGGGTGAGGACGCGAGGAGAACGAGCGTTCTCAATCTGTGCGCCTCGTCTCTGGAACCAACTCCCTCTAGCAGTGAGAATGGCCCCCCTCGCTCAGATTTTAAATCACGCCTGAAGGCTCGTTTTTATTCCATGGCTTTTACATCAGCCTAGCTAGCATTTTATGATGCTTTTGTTTTATATTTTTGTTTTATAGTAGTTACTGTACTACTTTTATTACTTCTTCCCGTGTGTGGATTTTTATGCTCTTTTACTGTGCAGCTCTTTGGTCGGCCTCTGCCGTGTAGAAATGTGCTATTCAAACAAAATGGAATAGAATGAAAACAGGAGTGGCTTCATGGACAAGTCTGTTTTCAGACAAACCAGCATACAGCTGATATGATATAAATGTAGCCATCGGTAGATATTGTGACTCTACCGTCCAACAACGATTGTGCATGAATGTTGTCAAGTTGCTGCAGCGCGTGGATGAAGACGAGCTTGAGAAGACAACGTTGGTTATATGGACTTGGTTTGGGTCTAAGGAGTCGGATGTTGAGCAGCAAAGATTTCTGGGCGGCAGCAGTCGTATCTGCATTAACAGCTCTTTACGCTTATTCCCTTAATTGTCGTTTGTTTTTAACACATGATGAACCCACAGGCTTCCAAACGTTTTGAAAATTTTTTCCTCACAGACCTTCCCAGATGCTGCAATTCCCCTGGTATGTGAGATTGCTCAATTTTGACATAAATAAACAAAAGAAACGCATGTATTGCGACATATGTTTTTGGCTACCGTAAATCCTCTAACATTAGCCTGTATTCAATTAATGGCCGGGTATCACGTTTTAGCCGGTGTCGGAGTCGGCGGAGGTGAATAATGGCCGGTTTTTTATTGTGGCCGGGTGGAATGTGGTAACAAGCAAGTACGGGGGGCAGTTGTGTCATCGTCTCACTTTTGATTTGCCAGTGATAGACCGCGAGGGTAACTTTAACTGTGCGGAGATGAAGAGGAGGCGAAACTTTGATATCAAGTTCAAAGAGAACGTGCTGATTATGCTGCAGAACACTCTGGGGAGCAGTAGGGGTTGTATGAACTAGTCACTAGTCGACTTCACTGCTCTATAGTGACTTGTTATGCCTGTCATCGACTAGTCGCTGTCACGTGATAATGACCGGCAAGATGCAGTCTTCAGAAAAGACAGCAGCCTGCTGTCAGCAGGTGACAAGCTCCTGCGCGTCGGGGGGCAACGCGCTGTGCCAGAGCGTCGGTACTGACACCTGCCGTAAAATGGACATTTAACCAAATTGTGACCTTTACCCTCTTGCAATTTAACCTTCCCCTCACCCCCATCCTAACCTTAACCTGCTTGCGCATGCATAGCTCTGATTGTTGACGCGCTCCAGACATCTGCGTCCTGAGCACGGCCACAGTAACATTATCAAATCAGGTGTCGCCACCTCAAAAACTAATTTAACACACGATCGTTCATGTCGGCTCATTTCCTTTTATGTTTTCTGTCTTTAATTTGTGCCTGATGCTTTTCGCTGCTGTGGAGCGGGGCGCATCACCTGTTTTGTCCTCGGTGACGCACCTAACTGATATGGCCGGCGCGCAGCGTGCACTCCGCTGTCTTTGCGGTCGGTAGATCTTTTAGAACTGCAGTTCAAAGGTAACTCATAAGGTGAATATATGTATGAAGCCAGGTAGCAGTTTTTCTTTAGGATTGAGAGGAGATGCAGGAAGATAATAAACAGAGACAGGATAGAAAAATAGTCAGATAAAACAAGTTAGTTTTTGTAGCTGGTGGTTGCAACAAACAGACACCATTGAAGGTAATCAGAAGTGAGGAACAGAAAATGAAATAATTATTTTAATGTTTAGAGCAGCAGGAACTCTGAGAGGCTGCAGGCGCATCAGTGAGTTTGCGGCCGCTGCGCAGGGGGAGGAGGGGAGAGGGCTGAAGCAGGAACTACCGTTGTTAAAAGAAATGTGTTTAACTTTGAAAATGTGGGCGCAATTTTAATTGTCAAAAACTCCAGCGAACCATTAGTTCATTTTGCTCAAATAGAAATTGAGGCCTGCCTCTAATACTGGTCCTCCTTCCAATAAAGGCCTGGAGCTTGATGAGCTTGAGTAAAATACAGGCCCAGGCCTGTATTAGAGGATTTACGGTATTTAAACAAACTGGTTCAGAGGATCTGAATTTCAAAGAGTCGGAGTACCCGGCCCGGAGGGTTACCTGGGTCCCACCCTGGAGCCAGGCCTGGGGTTGAGGCCCGTGAGCGAGAGCCTGGTGGCCGGGCTTTCGCCCGTGGGGCCTGGCCGGGCCCAGCCCGAACCGGATACATGGGCTCATCCAACTGTGGACCCACCACCCGCAGGAGGAACATGAAGGGTCCGGTGCAATGTGGATCGGGTGGCAGACCGAGGCGGGAGCCTTGGCGGTCCGATCCCCGGACAAGGAAACTGGTTTTTGGGACATGGAACGTCACCTCGCTGGCGGGGAAGGAGCAGGAGCTTGTAGCAGAGGTTGAGTAGTACCGGCTAGACATAGTCGGACTCACCTTGACACATAGCATTGGCTCTGGAACCCAAGTCCTTGAGAGGGGTTGGACACTCTCCTTTGCTGGAGTTGCTCCGGGTGAGAGGCGGAGGGCTGGGGTTGGCTTTTTGTTAGCCCCAAAACTCTCTGCCTGCGTGTTGGGGTTTACCCCGGGGGACGAGAGGGTAGCTTCCCTGCGCCTTCAGGTCGGGGAACGGGTCCTGACTGTTGTTTGTGCTTATGGGCCAAATATCAGTTCAGAGTACCCACCCTTTTTGGAGTCCCTGGGACAAGTGCTAGATAGTGCTCCATCAGGGGACTCCATTGTCCTGCTGGGGGACTTCAATGCTCACGTGGGCAATGACAGCATGACCCGGATAAGCGGAGGAAGACGACGACGAAACAAACTGGTGTGTGTTTAGTGAAGGAACAACTCAGAAAACAGGGACTGAAGGGATGAGTTAGACTTACTTCATGATCAGAATGTAGACAAAATACATCAGAATCAGCGTGAGAGCTTCCCACCTACAAAACAGAACGGGACGTTCAGCAGCGAGAAAACATGAGTATGTTTTATCAAACCTGAACTTTACTTACCAAACCACTTTCTCATCATAAATGAACTGTAGTGTTTAGGGGAAAAGTGAGAATCAGAAGTTTAGATCACTTCTCACAGATGATCAGAGTTAGAACGGATTTAGCAGGGTTAAGAATAGAAGGAAGGTTTCTCCCCAGAAGAAACCTGTAATGTACAGGTGAGAACATCAGGTGTGTCTTACCACAATGAGAGCAGAGATGGACAGAGTGTAGTAGACAGAGTCTCGCAGCAGAGGCCAGCAGGACAGACGGATGGTCTGAAACACAGAGAAACAAACCAGCTACAACCGTAGACCTGGGTTCCTCTAGTGCACCTAAACTAGCGGTTAGTGTTTCTTCTCCATGTAGTAGTGAGATGTCTGGTCACATGACGCTCATTTACCCACAAGGCTCTCCTGTTAGCAGGTGGCAGAGTTAGAAAATAAATCCAAATCTGTAGAGTCCAGCGTCCGCATCACACAATGTACGCTACTCGAGGTGAATCGTAAGCTGGACAATGTCTTAGCTGCAATACCGGTGTTAGTGCGCAAAATGGATGTCATCTCGGAGAGGGTCACCGGACGGTGTGGAGATGTTTAATAACCCGAATTGGCTTCACTGAAGGACTGGAATGACCAGTTACAGACTGAAGGCAGAGGGAAAATTATCTCTGCCTGACCCAAACACAGTCTTGTTATCCTTATCTGATGCCATGCAGCCTTGATGCTGCAAATAATCATCCCCCACGAAGGAAGGAATACAGACAGATGCTGTGGAACCCCCCCCCCCCCCCCCCCCCCCGCCCCCACCCCCCGCCTTCAGATTGTGGACTTCACAGCGAGCCCATCAACCTGCAGGAATGTGCTCTGTGCCCTTCCCAAGATCTCTCTTCCTCCTGTGGACACAGCTGGCTGAGCGCCGCCATGGCTGCCGGCCCTGAAAAAACAGGATCCCAGCCCCCCCCCCCAAACGGAGTCTCATGTTGTGAATGTTGAAGTTCGTGCTTTTATGTTTGAGGTGTTTTTTTTCTGCATAGTACAGCTACGCCCTGTCGGGTGTGACTCTGGTATGTTTTTTTCCCCTCCGCCAACCTATCCTCATGTAATTCCTTTTCATCTATTAAGGTAGCGCGACCCATGTTGCGAATGACCGCAGTCACCAATTCTTGTCATGTGTCTTGCCCATGTATGTCTGAACTCTGAACTGTGTGTACTGAAACTCAATTTCGTTTCTCTGTATGTCTTGCACACGTGGTAGAAATGACAATATATGACTTTGACTTGACTTGAAGTAGGACGTTCCAGGAATATGTTCAGATGCAGTGGTGTGTAGATAAATGCTGGAAGAAGTTTTCAGGTAGTTTTAGAGACCACATCAGTGAATGAGCGTTGCTAGGATACAAGCCCAGTTAGCATGTCTACTAAGGAGGAGTTCCAGAGAGACGACACATCCAGTAATTGAGTCCTGAACAGGAGGAGACAAGGGACTTCCCACAGAAGGAGACTATTGGGCCATTCCCATCTGTACCGGGTCGGCCCGGGCCGGGTAGCCCCAGTCGGCCCCAGCCTGGCCCGGTTGATTCCACTCATCCTTGTCTTAAGCCCATGTGGGCTGATTCTACCCACCAATCAGAGGCTTGCTCTAATGGAAGGTGTGAATTTGCTGTCAGCAGTGGGTGTGTTGGCCCTGGTCGGCCTGAAAGCAGACCCCCTCGAGAAGAGGGCTGAGAATGAGCCTTGGTTGGCCCGGAAAAATACCAGGCCACCCAGATATGTAAACAACCTACGCTACCTGGCCCGGGCTGACCCGGTACAGATGGGAATGGCCCATATTAGAGCTGTGGACCTGATAAATGATGAATGACCCGCACTTGTATAGCACCTTTCAGAGTCAGAGGACTCCAAAGTGCTTCACGCAAAAGTGAATCATTCACCTACTCACACACACACATTCACACGCTGGTGGTGATGAGCTACATTGTAGCCACAGCTGCCCTGGGGCGCACTGACAGAGGCCACCACCAGCAGGCAAACTGAGTTAAGCATCTTGCCCAAGGACACAACAGCAGCATTCTCTTTCCGGAGCCGGGATCGAACCTACAACCCTGTGAGTGTTGGACAATGCACTTTACCTCCTAAGCTACTGCTGCTGCATGTGACTTGAGTTACATGACTTGGACTCTAGTCAGATTCGAGTCATTAATTTTCTCACTTTAGACTTGACTTGAACAATGTTCAAAGACCTGGACTTTACACTAGTGACTTGGGATGTGACTTAGACTTGAACCCGTTTACTTGAAAAGACTTGGTATTTTACCCTATCTCTAGTTTAAAACATAGGTAATTACAAAGTAGCTCACGTTGTGTCGTTTCACTTATCAAGAATTCACAAGCAGAGACGTCTCTGTGGACTAGTATGAGTGTGCAACACATTCTCACACCCAAAGCGTCGAATAATGACGCGTCTGACCAAGCGCCAAAATATGACGATTAGGGTGCCCCAGAGCGTCGGTATCTGACGCCCGTGGTGAGACGGAAATTTGACCAACTTGTGAACTACTTAACCTTCCCCTCACCCACATTCTAACCTTAGCTAGCTTGCACATGCAAAGCGTAATAGAAAATTACTGAGTTAAGGTTAGGATGGGGTGAGGGGAAGGTTAAATCGCTAGAGGTTCGAGAAATAATGTCCGTGTCACCGCGGGCGTCAGTATCCGATGCCCGCGGTGACACGTGTCCCTGCGAGTCCTCTCCCGATGCGCTGGGGCACCCTAATCGACATATTTTGACGCTTGGTCAGACGCATCATTATTCGACGCTTTGGGTGTGAGAATGTGTTAGAGTGTGAGCTGCGGTAAGGCCAGCCTGAACCTCGTCTCTGCAAACATTTCTGCACAAAACACTATTTATGCTCCCAACAGTCATTTCTGTCTTTGTGTATTTTCTTTTCTTTTGGTGCAATTCGAACGCCGACCACTAGTTGGCAGCAGTGTGCAGTGGGTGTTGTTTCCACCATTGAAATGTAAATCTGTCAGAGTCTCCAGCCAACCGGCTTCCACCTAGGACCACAACTCCCAGCAGCTCCTCGCCAGGATTCCCATCGTTCTCAACCTACGTCACCAACCGCGGCTATTCACGGAAGTCGCCTTCCATCTCATCGCAGTCATCGTTTCTTCGAACCCATGATCAGAGTTACCAACCTACCAGTTCTTCCAACAAACTCTCTTCAACCGGTAAGTGCCCTTGCTTACTTTTGGAACAGCTCTGCGCTTCCATTTCACCTGTCAGCGCTCGGGCATTCCTAGATTAAATCGCATGCCGGCTCAACCCGAGCGCTCGCTGTTCCGCGTCTGGGAAGTCACGCACGCTACAGCTCAACTCCTACCAGTCGCCCGAGCGTTGTGACAAAATCCCTCTATTATGGTGCAGGTACCTCACGTTTAACATGTTACGTATGTCATTTAATGGCGAGCCTTAGCCAGATATCTACACAGTTTTAAAACATTTTGTGTCGAGTTTGAGACATATTGGGACTCGGAGTCTGAGTTAGACAAAACAAACTTCCGTCAGTCAGTTAGGTGAACATTTGCTTCACGTAAAGGGGGGTTGTACATTACTCCCCCTCCACAGGAGGCGCTGTTTCATCACACAACTCTGAGTCTGACGTGGCACGTAGCGGCCATTTTAAGGCCTAACACTGAAGGATTTTTCCTGTCTTGGTACGTTGAATACTGTATGTTTTCTTGTTTCTCGCTTGTGCTTGTGACACAGTGTGCAATTGTTTGTGAAACCGGAGATATAGATATCCCCATCGGAAGTTACTTCCGTCCGGTAGCCGCTTGATCCCCGGTCTACCCGGTTTACCCTCAACCGGACGTCTACCGGATGGCTCGGAGCGTCAGACGTTTCAGCCCTGCACCGAGTACTTCGTACCCGGTTGATGCGTACCTGAGCAACCTCCGACACCACTTCGAGCGGTGTCCGGGAATGTCCATGGAGGACAAGATCTTTCTGATAAGACTAACCTCCGATGGCGTGGGTTCGCTCATTGATCGCAAGCGTAACTTGATTGGGAACGACTACGAAAACCGTCAGTTTGGACAGTTTTTTTAAATTTTCTACAATTAATTCAGTCTAAAAAAAATCGCTAACATCATCTGGCTGAATTTATCGCAATATATCGTATTGTTTACCCTGTATGGATAAGTATCTTATTGCCAGAATTTCACCAATACACACCCCTATTAGCCTCTATTGTGAGGGAGTTGTTGTGTTGATTAGATGCAGGAGGGTGTGACCTGGACAGAAACTTTATTAAAATGTTGGTCGTTCCAAAAACATCATACAAAGTGAACGGGCCTCTTCCCACGTTGCACCAAATCTCTGGAAGGCCCACCACCTCACATTAGTGCAGCCGGCTCACTGGTTGACTTCAAATCACACTTACAAACGTTTTACTTCAACAACGCCTTCTGCATATGATCCTCAAACGAACTCCCCGCGTCATCCATTGCTCTCTTATTGCGGTCACCTCAGCCGACAACTTACTTACTTCTCTTATCTTATTTTTTTATCTCAAATTGAAGTTTGATACCGTTTAGTTAACGTCTGCTGTTTCGTTTTAGATGCAATAGCTACAGCTAGGCTCTTGTTTTCTTTTCCACGATTTGTACAAATCAGTCCCCTTTTGCTTCTAACTTGTTCTAAACTTCCACCTCTCTAGTCTATTTTGTAGAGTGGCCCACCAGTGCTGACTGGCCCTCCTGCGCAGCACTCAGGACAGCTGAACGCTGTGTTTTAAATGTGTGTGTGTGTGTGTGTGTGTGTGTGTGTGTGTGCGTGTGAGAACACACCTGTACAACGAATATACCACACATCCCAATGATGCAGAGAATGTTGAAGACGGCCGAGCCCACAATGGTCCCAACCCCGACGTCACCTTTAGTGATGAACACTCCTGTCGAGCACAAGGTGAAACACTCTTAGAGCTTTCACAGGCTGCACCAAGAGAAGAAGGTCCATACATCTCCTAGAAGATACTGCGGGTTCAAGATTTCTGACCGATGACAGAGGTGAACAGCTCAGGTGCCGAGCTGCCTGCTGCCATGAAGGTGGCTCCTGCGACGTCCTCGCTCAGGTGGAGACGCTGGTGGACAAGAGAAGGAAGACAGGAAGGCGTTCTCCTCAGAAATCCAAAACAAATCACAAGGAGCTGCTAGTAGATGATAGCTGAAGAAGTAGAGGCGGGACCTGCTGGTGGGGTGGAGGTGGGTCTTACCTCACAGATCTTCTCCAGAGATGGGACAAAGTAGTCGTCACACACCAGAGCCAGAGCATAGAACATGTAGACGGCCTACAAAGACCAACACACACGTTTTTCTGTCTGGTCAACGCGTCTTTGTCGAGAGCGACTCACAAACGATGATGCTGCGACCATGGCGACTAATTAGGGTTAGCATTTCCTCAGCTGTTTAACTGCTTACTGTCTCTTTGTCTGCTGACTTGTTTGTTACTGATTGTGATTCTTAAGCTTTAAAGCTGAATAAAACACGTTTATCGCCTCAGGTAAAAGCACGGAGAGTAAAACTTACACAGAGGACATGCAGGCCCACGGCGCCCTCCGTTCGCTCTTGGTTGGTGAAGTAATCCCTTGGAAACTCGTGGATGGCTGTGAACACATGAATGGATGGAAATCACAATCAACGCACAGAACATCTAAATTAGAGAGGAAATGCACCTGATCTAACAATATAAAACACCAGAAATGCTGCAAGTAAAAGAAAAGCCTCTGAATGAACACAGAGACCCACCAAGCCACAAAGTCTTTAACAGGGTCAAAGTCAATGACGTCACGTTATACTTAAACGACCAGTTTATGTTAAACCAGCTGACTAAAGCCAGTGTTTCTGAGGGCGTTTAAAAAAGGTGAAAGTAGAAAATATACAATACTGAATTTGGTGTCTTTTACAGACGTCCTTTTGCCCGTGTGAACATATTCACGTGACTCCACCTTACCCGGGCTGTAACAGGACGGGAAAGATGGAGAATGATTCACATGGTGAAGCAGTGGGCGGGGACGGCGGCAGAAACCAAATTCATGATGTTGTTGAAGGAACGGGCTTCTGCGCGACCAAGTCCACCGTTCCCTCTAACGACAGCTGGACAGGTAGTCATCGTCCGTTTATCGCTATCCAGGCGAACTGTTCAATATATCATGATACTAATTTGAGGCTGTATCGCCCAGCCCTAGGTCAAAGGTCAATTAGAAACAGGGATATACAGAGCCTTGCAGAAGTATTCACACCCCTAGAACTTGTACACATTTTAACACCTTACAACCACAAACCCAGCTCACCCAGACTGGACAGCAGTTCCTACGTCTGGACATTGACCAGGCCATTCAGTCATCGAGTCATCGAGTCCACCCTCACCTCTTCTATCACCGTGTGGTACGCTGGAGCTACCACCAGGGACAAGAATAGGCTGCAGCGTGCTTTACGCTCTGCTGAGAAGGTCATTGGCTGCAAACTGCCCTCTATTCAGGACCTGTACACCTCAAGGACATTGAGGCGTGCAGGTCGGGTCACAGCTGGCCCGTGTCACCCTGGACAGTCTTTTCAACTCGCTCCCATCTGGCAAGAGGCTCAGATCCATTCGGATCAGAACCTCTCACCATAAGAGCAGTGTCTCCCCCTCCGCTGTTGGACTCATGAACAATCTCAGGACCGCCCACTCCAGTCACCTGACCTGTGTTGTGTTTGTACCTGAACTGACCCGCTCTCATCAGTACCTACGCTGTCTTGTAAATAGCAGCCGTTTCTCTAATCATCACCGCTTTATCTTACTTCCTATCTCTTCCTTTTATCCTCCTTTTTTGCACCAAGTACCGCAGCGATTCCCTAATGTTGTGACCCTCGCACATATGGCAATAAAACCTTCAGATTCTGATTCATGAATCATTTTTTATCTAAAACCATTCTATTGTAGCTCTGTCTGCGTGCTTAGGCTCATTGTTTACTTGGAAGGTGGATCTCCTTCCCCGTCTCAAGTACTCTGCAGCCTCCATCTGGTTTTCTTCCAGGGTTGCCTTCCATTTAACTCTATTCTATCCACACGCGGTAATTCCATGCAGAGCCAGTCTGACGGACAACCGTAGATTCCCTTTTCCATGTTCGGACGATGGATTCAACGGTGCTGCTTGAGAGGTCTGCATTAGGCTTGTCTGCAGCGTTCTCCCTGACCCATGTGGTGAGTTCCTTGGTCTTCATGATGCAGTCTGTTCAGCAATGCTCTCTAATAAACCACCGAGAATTAATACTGAGACTAAATTATACATGGGTTAACTCTATAATCTAATCAGGTGATTTCTGAAGGAAACCGACTGCACTGGATTTCATTCATCAGAGGGCTGAATACAAACTCACCACACACTTATCTGCTTATTTGCATCTTTCTCCCAGGACAAGAGAAAAGAAGGTTGCAACTGTGATTTTCTTCCACTGAGTGTCACTACGTCCTCCTCACAGGAGTCACAAATCCATCTGATTTCAGCAGCCAATGAGAGGGAGCTGAAACATGCTGCCTCTTTATGTCATCATGTGTGTGTTTGCTGCTAAATTATCTCGTGCGCTCAAGTGGATGGCCTAAAAATAGCACCACCCACAGTGTGTGCGTGTGAAGGCCTTCCTCACTGTGTGCCTGTTAGTGTGTGCTTGTGTAACATGCATGCAGCCCGATGTGCAGTGGCATTCTCCCTCCCAACAGCCGAAAGCCCGTGAATCAGGCGGCTTGAGCTTGAGCCCGCCCCGCTCGGCCCAAATGCACCACGAGCACGTCTGCTCATAGGAGCTGACAGCAGCACAGAGGGGGAGGTGGGGGAGATGGGGGAGACACATGAGGCAAAAAAGAAAAAAATTGCGGATTTGTAAGGTTTTCAGTCCAACATGATGTGGCGATGCCAGAGAAGGATTGGTCAAACAGAGGAGAACCAGGAAGAGACCTTTAACCCCTTTTTGTTTCCTTTGTGAGTCAGAAGCTCCTGGAGCTTCAGGCACATTCACCTGCCTTCAGTGGAGAAGTGTAGCATCAATCCTGAGAGAACCAGATGAGCTCTTCCAGTTTCTGCTTGTCTTCTGTTTAATGGAGGAGATCGTATAGAAGCACAGCCCATGGCCCTAACCCGACCCGTCATCCCGCCGCCTGCTGCTGCTGTTCTAATGCTTCTGCTTAGAGCTTAGGTTGCACTGAACAAACACACGGTTCAGGATTAAAGCCCATCTTTATCATGCGGACAGCAGCTCCTCATGCTGTTAAATATTCTGGGGGCAACAATAAAAGCCTCACATAATCCCCAGATTAAGATAATTCTATAGGATTGAGAGTAGCTTCTGTTTCAGGGCGGTTTAAAGAAAAGTACATTCTGAGGTGGCTGTTAGGTTAAGTGCTGCCTGCAGGCGCTCCCAGGGCCCAGAAAGCATCGGGCTCCTGTTCAACACCAGTCTTCATGCACCATCCAACATACACGGCCCCCTGCTGGCCACACACGTCACAGCACATCAACAGAGTCTGTTCACGTTTGGATTTCAGGCCAGAGTGAGCGGAGGCCTCGTTAACAAAGACCCAGAAGCACGAAACCGTGAGCATGCATGGGATCCAAGCCTTCAAACGCTAAATGGCCTGTATTTGCAAAGCGCCTTCTTAGGGTTCTACGACCCCCCAAGGCGCTTCACAACACAATAGGTCATTCATCCATTCACACACTGGTGGGGATGAGCTACGATGTAGCCACAGCTGCCCTGGGGCTCACGACAGAGGCGAGGCTGCTGAACACTGGCACTACCACCACCAGGCAAGGTGGGTTACGTTTCTTGCCCAAAGACACAACAGCAGCATTCTCTGGTTGGAGCCGGGATCGAACCTGCAGCTTTCCGATTACTGGACAACCTGCCCTACCTCCTGAGCAGCTGCTGCCCCAAGCCTTCACAGTCAACGTGGAAACGAGCCACACGATGGAAAGCCAGACCTCCATCTGAAAGCCGTGCACATGTGATTCTCCTCTGTGAACTATCAAAGGTTCTGTTAAGAACTTCAGGAATTAGGAGAAACTGTAGGAATGTGACCTGAAGACACTCGTGAGCGAGGTATAAGTCACGGTGGTGTCCTCTGGTATCAGTGCTAAAGGACATCATCAGGTTTAAGTCAGAGGATATTAGACTTACAGCAGTTACGTTGTCAGACGCTCACTCATTAATACATATATGATGTCATATACATGCAGGAGTGAGAGGGACTGGTTTTATTCATGACTTTATTAACATAGCTTCAATAGACGCTCCAATTACGTTTATTTATGTGGCAGACGCTCTTATCCAAAGCAAACTACAACTGTTAACCTGTAGGGCATGTTGTGATCTGTGGGGGAAACCGGAGTACCCGGAGGAAACCCACGCATGCACAGGGAGAACACGCAACTCCACGCAGAAAGGCAGCAGCTGGGTTTCAAACCTGCAACCTTCTTACTGCGAGGCAACAGTGTTAGCAACCGTGCCACCACGCAGCCCAATGATCAAACTCAACTTTTAAAATGTTGATGTTTGAAGTTTCTGACGAACAATAAAAATTAAATAACAGTCTTTATTCTTCCCATTAAGCAGCTGACCTCTGACCTTCTGTCTTATCTTCGTTTGATTGTTTTGTTCATCAGTCCCTCCACCCATTTCATCAATCCATCCATCTATCTAATCATCCATCCAAACATTTACTCACCCATCCATCCATCCATCCATCTATCTACATAGATATAGAAGGGATGTTGGATGTTGATCTGTGGGGGAAGGGTGGGAAATTGACTGTTTTTAAGTACAGCGCTTTGAGTTGCACTCATTGCATGAAAAGCATTTCATAAATAAAATTTGATTTTGATTGGATTTATCCATCCATCCATCCATCCATCCATCCATCGTCCGTCCGTCCATCCGTCTGTCAGTCCGTCCATCCATCCATCATCCATCCATCCCTCTGTCTGTCCATCCATCCATCCATCCATCCATCATCCATCCATCCCTCTGTCTGTCCATCCATCCATCCATCCATCCATCCATCCATCCGTCCACCAACATCTTGATGACGGACAACAGAACATGCTTACAGTTGGTTGCCGGAAACCAAAAAACAGACTAACCTGGCTCCGTGCAGTTCTTCTCAGTGTCTGAGTAGAGCTTGGACTGGTTTTCCTCTTGTAAAAGGTGTCGACTCTCCCACCTCGTCTCTTCCAAAACCAGTGAGCTGGAGAGATATCCTGTGAGCAGGGTGGAGGGTGGGATGACATAAAGATGAGGATGGCAATATCAATATACCAGACAAATAGACCAAAGGGACATGTGATCATTACTGTTATGGCTTTAAACATCATCTGATCAGAAATTCCTGCCGTGTGTTAAGAGCAGTCTGCTCTGAAGGACATCAGGACCACTCCTATAAAAGATCTGGACTTTCAAATGTTTTGGATTGTTTTTGTCTGATTTTGAAGGAGCCAATCAGAAAGCCGGGTGTATGGAAGCACGCTGCACGCTCCTCCTCCACCATGTACGTTTACTCCAAAGTCACATTTGAACTCAAGAAATTCCCGGTCTGACCAAGGAATGCTTGTGTGTGAAATCTGTGTAGTTTTTGCTGTGTGGCCACACACCACACACTCTGTAGGACCAAAACTGGTCTATCCCTGTTTTTTTAATCAACACATGTGGGGTCTCTCAAGCTTTGAAAAGCATCTTTAAAAATCCTGCTGTGTGAAGCGGACCTTAGTGGTTGGTGAAAGAAGCAGACCATGACTTTGACTAAAAGTCTGACTGAACAGTAATTTTCACTTTGTTATTCATGTAGATCCTTCTCTGGTGGCCCTCCAGGAACGAAGACAGAGAAAAAACAAAGATCCAGTAGGAAGGATAGATCCAAATCTGGATTTCTGGTGAAAATGCCCCCACAGACATTAATAACAGCCATCTTCTAGAATAGCAATGTTATCTGTGGTATTGTCTCATCCAACTGTTAAAGCCACCGTGCCTTTTCGTTATCAGACTGACTCACAGGGTCACGGCATAAACTACAACAAATCAAAGGAATGATTCTGATGACTTCCTACAAATCCAGAAATCAATCAATCAATCAATCAATCAATCAATCAATACTTTATTAATCCCAGAGGGAAATTAGAGTTTCAGTACACACAATTCAGAGATCAGACACACATGGGCAAGACACATGACAAGAATTGGTGACTGTGGTAATTCGCAACCCGAGTCGCACTACCTTAATAGAGGTAAGAGGGTTACATGAGGATTGGTTCAGGTGGAGGGGGAAAAAAAGGCACTTCAGAGTTACCCTCCAGCAGGAGGGCAGCTTTGCTTTGCAAAAAAAAAACACCTCAGACAGATATGCAACAGACTATTGAGACTCCAATAGGAAGGCGGGGTGCTGGGATCTTGTTTCCCCCAGCGAGAGCAGCCATCTACAGCGCTCATCTACTGTACAGTCACAGGTGGGAGGGAGATCTTGGGAGAAGCAAAGAGTACATTGACTCCTACAGATTGATGACCTCGCCAGGCTGAAGTCCCTATTCCGAGGGGGGGGTTCGGGTTTTCACAGCAACTGTCTGCTTTCCTTTGTGGGGGTTTTATTTGCTTGCAGCTCAAGGCTACCAGGGCGTCAGATTCAGATAACAAGAAATTGTTTGGGTCAGGCTGAGATAATTTTCCTCTCTGCCTTCAGTCTTTAAACTGATCATTTCCAGTCCTTCAGTGAAGCCAATTTTGGTTTTTTAAACCTGTCCATACCATTCGGTGACTCTCTCCGAGATGACATCCATTTTGTGCACTGATGCCGGTATTGCAGCTAGAACATTGTCCAGCTTACGATTCACCTCGAGTAACGTCCCAGTCTGTGAAGTCTCCACATGGACGATGCTTTCCGTGGGTGCGGGTCGCCCTCCAATCGCTCCCGTCTTCCCAAATTTCCAGAAAACCAGATATCCTCCCACTCCAATCAGGAGAAATCCAGTGATCATCAGACCAAATATCCGCACGTCTTCGATGTCCTCAATGGACAGCTGGGAGAGGCATATGATCTTCGACTCCTTCCAGGAATCCAAAATATATCCCACCGGGTGTGTCCCCTGTGGACATGTGAGAGCCCCCTGCTCCATTCTCATTGTTGAAAAAATCTTATCGATCGCACTGAATGACCAGTTTATCAAATCCATGGTTAGTAAAAATAGAGTTTTTCAGAAGAAATGCAGAGAAGCGCTCTGTGGGCAGACAGGACAAAGAGCCTTGGGAAAAAAGATAAGGGAGCGAAAGAGGGAAGCATCTGTACTCCTTGAGTGCCTTGAAGAGAAAAAAATAACAACCACATTTAAAATGTTTTATTATGACAAAACATTCAGAAAACCAGACTCACAAATGAAGGACTTGCCAGGGAGCTCAACTCTCCATAACCCAGTAGCGAGCCTCAAGACAACAACAAACACTGTTTATACACTTTTCCTCACGTTATAAGAAAAAGACTATTGGTATATAATAATAATTATAATAAAATGGTACCTGTCAATTTAAGCAAACCTTAATCCTACAGAAACCCTCCAGAGAGAGGCTCTTATCCAACAGTTCAAAAACTTTAGTCCTTCCCCTGCACCACAATGTCTCAGAACCTGGACAAAGCAGAAGCCACTTACAGGGTTGGACTGGAAACACGATGCACATCTCTGCAGAAAGACTTGCTAGCATTATGTAAAGCTCTGTTTGAAACCAAAGGGTGAAATGTGCCATGCTGCATCAGCTCAGTGCTTTCAGCCAGCTGTGACGCTTTTTGGCCTCATACTGTATGACTTTCCCTTGAGCCAGTGTATCTGTGTATCTGTGATGGGAACAGGAGACATCGGCCAAAGTCTGCTCTACCTTTCTTATTAATGAACTGATGTGAATCTGCCCATCTAACCTTAACCACAACCTGATCATAGCAGTAAGCATACTTAAATCCACATACATAGTACAATTATAATACACAGTGTAAAGTATACATGAATATACATCTGGACTGTATTCAGAGGCTGTTCCAAGTCTATGAGACTCAGATAAAACTAAAGCTTGATGTACAGATTATAGGACAGGAAGTCAGAACACTGTTGAAGGTGCAATTTGAAAGAATTCTACAGTGAAATAATCACAAAACAGTCTAATGTCTCAGTCATGTTGGAAGGAAGGTTATACTGAAGCAGATTTTATTCTCAACTGGCTGGACGGTGGTTGGTTTTTCTCCCTTCGAGAAAAACGAAAGCGGTACGTAGCTACTGTTTAAAATCTGTTTGTGAGGCTGCAGGATCTGTAGCGAGCTAGCTCTGCTGTGCCAGCATTTAGCGGCCTCTGGTTTTAACACGGAGACTACTGCGACTACATTGAATATGGTGGAACCGGTGCCTCTCACACGCTCCCCGCAGTGGAGTACAGTCGTGAAGAAGGGCAGGCCTCGTCAGAAGCTGGAGAAGGTTGTTGCAGGGATGCATGTTCCTTCCGCGACTAGACAAAACAAGAGGCCTGGAACCGTATCTATTATTGGCACTGGAACTGTGAGTACCATAAAAACTGTAAAGACAAAATTAGTGACTGTGTTCGCCACTAAATTTGCCCCAGAAGTTGATGCAGAAATGCTCTCATTGTATCTTAAAGAGAAACTTAACAGAGACATCACCTGTTTAAAACTGTTAATTTACAGAGCAGGTTTGGCTCTTTTAAGGTTGCGGCTGTGTGTGATGACATCAGTGAAATGTACAACCCTGAACTTTGGTCTGAAGGGGCTCTGGTCCGGCGGTATTATGAATCACGGAACCCCCCGCTCTCTCCGCTCTACTAATGTGACCCCAGCAGGGGAGGATCCCCCTGGTCCCAACACCTCAGCATAAGCATGTCTCTTCAGGTGCTGTCCTATAACTGTCGTGGCCTACGTCTGGGCCAGGATGCAGGGGATAGAGCTCGACGTACTGTTGTGGACAGTTTGCTTGAAGAATGTGAAATATTGTTTACAAGAGACTTTTCTGCCTAAACAAGAGCTAGACAAACTTAACCACCTCAATTCTAAATTGTTGGGAGTGGGGGAATCAACTACTGATCTCAGCACAGCTATATGTGTCACGACGTGCTGCGGAGTGGAGCGGAGGAAAGGCGTGGATCCAGACCGGGGAGTAAACAGGCAGGCAGGTAGGAACGATTAACAAGGACTTATTAAGCACGCTGGACAATGAAACAATGACACCACAAGGAACACAGAACAGCAGGGGTTTAAATACATGAGGAACGGGAGCTATGGTGATTGGGAAACAAGAGGCAGGTGGGAGCAATTAACGGAGACACAGATTACAACCTAGGAGAAGACAGGACAGGGTGTGACAATATGGACTCGACACACGGGAGGCGACAAACGACCGTGATCAGCGAAATTTGTCGCTGTCGCTTTATTACCGGACGCACGGGAGGTGATCCGCGGCAGCGGACAGTGGCAAAGCCGGCTACGCGTTCTGTTGTTTTGCTTGGCTGTGTCAGTTTGGAGGGAATTAAGGTTATTTAAGCGGTTCAGAGTTAATAAAGTGGTAGATATGATGTTTCACAAGGTGCTGCTAGAGTATGTGAAATCTTACTTCTGATTTTACTATATAAAACATAATAATAATCAACTTCTCCTCCATGTTTGCTCGGAGATGTACGGAGCATCCTGTCCGCTCATTGGTCAGTGAATGAAACCTCCATTGATTGGTCCTCGTCCAAGCGACAGCGATGAAAAGTTGAAAATGTTTCAACTTTCTGGGATCGCGTCTCTGGGTCACCTGTGCACGACACGTGCACGAGCGCAAAATTTCACACGCACGTTTTTCACGTTTCGCTTGGTAGGAGGGAGACCCGCGATTATCGCATGTCTCATTGAAAATGAATGGAGGAGAGGCGATGTCGCCTCCCGTGTGTCGAGCCCAATAGTCAGAGGCAGAATTTCAGGAGGAGTGGCTGTGCTGTGGAATAAAACAATGGATGCGGTAACTAAGCCAATTAGACTGGATGTAGATTGGTGTATTGGCATTCAATATATCCAGAATAACATTAGTTTTGTTATCCTTAATATTTATACTCCATATGAAGCTGCTGGAAATGAAAGGGAATATCTTGGTAGGTTGGCATTTATTCAAAGCCACAGTACTTAAAGTATATGTGTTGTGGGTGACTTTAATGCTGATCTCTCAGATAAAAAAATCTCAGTTTG